TTGGACCACGCCCCCCCCCAATCTCGAATAGAAGGAATGACAGTTTGACTAGAAGTGTGGAGCGGTGTAGAAGTAGACAGTAGGGTGGTGTCTACCAGGGAATGGGGGCCAGGGGATAGGGGAGTTTTCATTCAATGAGTATAAAGTAGTTACAGTTATACAGGATCAGTAAGTTCCAGAGATCTGCTGTACCACATAAGTCCTACAGTTAATAGGAAGGTACTGTGTACTTGAAAGTGTGATAAGAGGGTAGATCTTACGTGCTTTTTGTTGGAGGTAGTTGTGTCCTTACCACCAACAAGAAAACTTGTGGAGGAGCGGGACACGTTTATCACCAGACTGTGGTGATGGTGACGTGAGTGTGTGCGTATGCCCAAACTCACCAAACTGTGTGTGTTAATTGTGTGCAGTTTTATGCACATCACTTAGACCTCAGTAAAGCAAGGGCAAAGTGAGCAAAAGGCAACCGGAAAGAAAAGGCGTGACCTACAGAGGAACTACAATTAAACTGAAAGTGGTTTCTCCACCAGAGCAGAAGCCCGATGACAATGGAATAAAATGTTCCGCAGATAACAGGCACTCAGTAAATGAGCAATAAAGCTTGCTACACCACTCGAGAAAAAATAAATATTTTGGAGAGAGAATAAATCACTATCTCGGTGTTTGTTTTCCTTTCTCGTGGAGTACAGTGTTATTTGCTCCCAGGTCCCCAGGGTCCTCAGGGAAAGCCCTACAGGGAAAATTAGAAAGAAATAGAAACAGAAAGCTGTCACAGGGGGAAATTCAAATTTTTTTATGTTTCCCCAATGAGTAAAGAAACAGAGAAGCAGACTTAGCTGAAAAATTAGGTAGTATTTTTTAACATTCCAAGATGTCCCCAAGATAGGAAGGGACGGTGGGGGCTGGGACGTTCCCTGTCCAGGGAGGTGTTCACTGAGGCTGGACATCACTTGGTGCAAGTGTCCCAGTAGGGCCCTAAGCAGATAGATCTGCCCCATGGCCTTGCAGTTTCCTCCAAGTGTGGGAAGTGCTCTTGGATGGGCAGTTTGGTGACAGTCTTTCATAGAGTGACGGTCTCTGACCAGGTGATTAGACTCCAGAGAAGCCCTGGGGAGTTAGCAAGAGCCACGTGTAGCCCAAAGTACCGTGATACTCTATAAAACAACAACAACACTACAATGTGGACTTTGTCACCAACCTTGTGTAACAGCCACTGCTCTGACAGCACTGAACTCACTTCCCATTTTTCCTCCCTTTAACACTTGTTGAGTGTCCCGCGTGGGCCAGACTCTGCGGGGAGGGGGTGGCGGGGCCAGCAGTGAGCACAGTGGCCGCCATCCATGTCCTCACGGGCCTCGTCCACCCACAGCTGACTGGGCAGTCTGGAGACAGCACCGTAATAGCCACATGGAGAAGCCCCGTGCAGGACCGTGTAACAAACAGGGAAACCTGCTGACAGTGTCCAGGAGCAAAGGCCTGTCTGGGAAGGGGCTTGGAGCTAGGAGGGGGATCGGGCCTTGGCTGTGTCCCCAAGGGAGAAATCACAGGTATGACGATGTCTAAGAGTTAGAAAGTGCTTGGCGTGTGAGCAGGTGGATCCCTGGTGGTGACACCGACCATAGGGAGAGCAGCCTGAAGCAGGGCCAGAGCTGGCCCCCGCAGGGCCTGGGGCTAAAGGAGGACCCAGCTTTGTCCCAGGGTGGCTGTTGATGGCAGTGAAGGGCCATGGGCAGAGCCACGGGAGGCGGAAGCCTCCACTAGACGTGCCCGGCCTCTGCTGGAGCTGAAATGCGTTCGGGCAGGACATCGTTACCAGTGGGGAGTCACTGCCGAGCTGTCACGTCTGTGGCTGCCTGTACAGTGACGGCTGGAGAGGAAACCAGACTCGCCCATGGCGGCCCCTTCTTTACTTCAGTCCCAACCCAGATGGCTCATGGGCTCTGGCCAGGACACCCCTGCAGAGGGGACAGGGCCCTGCCTCACTTTGAGGCCGCACTCGCTCCCACAGCCCGAGTCCGCCCACTCTACACGCCCTGGGAAACGCAAGGAAAATAAAATCCAGCGGTTCTCAGGGTGCTTCCAGGGTCTGGGCCAGCCACACACATCTGGGACCTCTGCAGAAGCCAAAAAACAAAAGTAAAATAGAATTGGCTTTGTCGCCCTATTTCTGGGTCATCCTTTAGGTCTTCCAGTCCGTGTGTGTTTTAAGGGCCTTGTTCAGCATTTTTTCATGAATACATACGGTTGGAGGATTAGGCATGTTTGTGACAATAAGAATTACACAGGGAATAAGAAACAGCAGGGAGGTGGCAGGTCCTGGATCCCAGCTTTCTCCAACCCACAGCTCTTTCCACCCTGCCTAGAGGCCCTGTACGGAAAGAAGAACAATAGCTGTCCACCCACCTTGGGCCTTGTTTCCTGGGGTCTGGAGAGCTGTGCAGGTGGACCTCCAACCGGGGCCGGCCCCCTCCCAAAGGCAGTGACAGACCCCATTTGCTAGGGAAAACTCTGTTCCATGGGGAGCACAGAATGCTGGCCGTGGTGGGGGGTGCCCACCTAGGGGGGCACGTGGCTCTTCCCAGGATCAGCAACAAGGCGCACGGTCCCTGCTGGGTGCCCCAGCCACTCCCCTTGAAGCAGACATACTCTCTCCTGGCACCAGCTAGCTCCGGGCTCAGAGAGGCTATGTGTGACCTGGGCCCACGACAGGTGTGGGGAAGAGCAGTTAAGAACCAGGTAGCCCGAAGTTGGACTGGCCAAAGTGTGGTCAGGCTTCACCACTTACTGTCTGCCTGATATTAAGCATGGCATTCAATCGTTCGAAGCCCCGGTCTCTTTGCTGTAAAGTGGGCCTGCAGAGTCACTGTAAGGAATAAACGAGATGGTCCATATTGTCACTTAGCATGGAGCTGACTCGTGTCAATTGTGAGAGAAACATTACCTGCCATCACTGTTGTCCCAGTTGTGAGCATTCTCGGTTTTGACTGTGCCACTGAGCAGTCATGTGGCCTGGAGAAATCACTTTTCCTCCCTAGCTTCCATTTTCTTTCCAGGTGAAATGTGTGATCTTGGCGGCAGCATCCTTACGGATCCCTGTAGCTCTTATGATTTGGTGACTTTGGCCGGATGACTATGAGATGGTCTTATGGTCCAGATCTTAAGGATAGCCCTGGAATCTTGGTTTATCCACAGACTTTTCTTGTACAAATCAGTTTCTTAACTCCAATATTCAGTCTTATTCCCAGGGGTGTCTAGGGAGTATGGGTGCACTGAGCATCCAGATGGTAGGAGTGAGTGACGTTACAGATGATCTGCTGGTGCCTTTGGCTGAGAAGTCTCCTCATTCTTGGTCCTCTGTACAAAAACACTTCTTAGCCAGAGAAATGGCCGGGCAAGAACAGCCTTACCAGGAGGGAGGCAAAGCAAAAGCCAGTGGCTTCGGATTGTAAAGGTTTGATGGAATGTTGACTGCATCCTTTACAGCCCTGAGCCTCCCCTTGGATTCCTTTCCAAAGGAAAGGACAAAGGCAATAACCATCTGTCTTAGTTTCCTAGGCCTTCCACAAAGTGCCACAAACTGGGAGGCTGAAACAACAGAAACTTGTTCTCTCATGGTGGTGGAGACTGAAGTCTGGTGTTGGCCATGGCGGTTCCTTCTGAGGGCTGTGAGGGAGTCTGCCTCACGCCTCTCTCCTGGTTTCTGGTGACTGCTGGTGATTTTTGCCATTCCTTGGCTTGTAGATGTGTCACCCCAATCTCTGCCACTGTCTTCATGTAGCCCTCTCCCTGTGTGTTTTTGTCTTCTCATTTTCCCTCTATGCAAGTGTGTGTCTGTGTCCGAATTTCCCCTTTTTATTAGGATAGTAGTCACACTGGATTAGGGTCCACCCCAATCACCTCATTTTAACTTGATTTAATTTGATTACCTCTGTAAATAGAGTTCTATTCTGAAGTCCTGAAGATTAGGACTTCAATATATATTTTTGGAGGCTGAGAAGGTGGCTCATGCCTATAATCCTGGCACTCTAGGAGGCCAAGGCAGGAGGATCACTTGAGCCCAGGAGTTTGTGGTTGCAGTGAGCTACTATGATGCCACTACACTCTACCTGGGGTGACAGAGCGAGACTCTGTCTCAAAAAAAAAAATATGTATATATATTTTTATTTTGGGGTGGATACCATGCAACCCATAACAAAGTCCTTGGACTATTTTCATTACTTCTAAGTATATAATAATTAAACATTTCTCCTGACTGATTGTTAATAAATACTGTTTGTTAAGAGCACCGACTCTAGAGACTGCCTGGGTTGGAATCCTGTCTCTGGCACTTACTAGCTGATTGATCTTGGGTAACTTTTTTGGCTTCTCTGTGTTCAGTTTCCTCACCTACAAAATGGGAATAATCATAGGGTTGATAAAAGTATTATACAATTGTCTCATCTTGTTACTATTATATATCCTACTGTGTTTGGAAAAGGCTCCCTCTAATAAAAACAGGGAAAGCATATACAGTAACTTACCGATCACCAGGCACCATTCCAAATGCTGCTGTGGACACATCATCACAGAGACTCCACGAGGTGGATGCTATTGTCAGCCCCGTTTTACAGGAGCAAAAACTAAGCCCTAGAGAGATGAAGTCATGTGGGGACAGCCCTGCAGCCACTAGGTGGAGGAGTCAGGACCCAAACCCGTGTTTGTCCAACTCCAAGGCCCTTTAGGAGTCACTGTGACTGGCCACCTCTCCAGGAATAATAAGAGGGTCTTGTAATAATGGAAAGAGTCGATCATAACATCCCACTGCTCAGGAAACACACCTTTCTTTAAAACAGGCTCCACATTTGAAGGGCATTTGTCTCTCCTCCAGGCCCCGGGACGGCTTGGGAAGGGGTCCCCCGGAGGAGAGCCAGGAAGAAGCGACCACTGACACCCCAACCCCCCAGGGAATGATGGCCATCCCACTGACATCTTATCTCCCTGGTTTTGTGTCTCCCTTCTAGGGAAGTCCATCAGAACTGCTGTGCTGATGAAGGGACGCTGTGTCTTTGAAGGAAGAAGAGATCCTCCCTCCCAGCTGCGGGCCACCCTCCCCAGTGACTCCAAGTGGAACTACTTAGCTCTCGTGTGCCTGGAGGGTGCGGGAACCCCAGCTGCTCTCACGTGCACCTCCCAGAGGACCGGTGGGAATTGTTCATAGTGCCAAAGTCCTACTACTGCGTTTTCAATGGGTCCTTGTAAATAGTTTGCTCCTCTGCCCTGGCCCCCACCTCTTGCTATACTGGAACTGATTTGTATACTGTGGGAATTTTGTTACCTTTTTAATCGAGGGCAACTTCCTTTTCCAGCACTACCATTGAAAGGTTTTTTTCCAAGAGGGAGGGCTAACCACGTTGCTTTTCTTTTTTCTTTTTCTTTTTTTTTTTTTCTTTTATTAATTTGGGGGAGGGAGTGTTAGTATTAGTGCCATGCTATCTACTGGATTTTAGGTAGGGAGAATTTATTTTTCAAGGTAGTTTGAAATTTGGGAGATTTCTGGGCAGGAAAAGGCTGAGATCCAGGCCTCTGTCTCCACTAGGAGAGAGTTTACAGATGGCAGATCTTCCGGATCAAATCTGCTTCCAGTTCTTCCTCCAGCTGCCTTTGGGGATGCGTGCGTGGGCAGGGCTCTCTCAGCTGCCAAATGTGGGTCTGGCTTGGCCTCAGAGGTGAGATGGGGCCCAGCCAGCACCAGGAGCAGCACGGGGCAACAGGTGGCTGACCTCTTTAAGCACCTTTTTAAATACCTGCAGAAAGGGCTCCCATGTTTGTTAGCATTGTCATGACTTTTGTGAAATTAAACAACAAAAAAAGATCTTCCTATCTAGATGGTACAAAGATGAACAGCTTTGGTTTTCATTTCTCTTCTTAACTGCCTTTTCTAGGTGGGGTATTTGACAAGATTTCAGCTTGGACCCTCACCATGAATTGATTTTTTTGTTTGTTTGTGTGTATGTTTGTTTTGGGCCAATTTTAGATACCTGAGTGCACTTTTTTTTTTTAGTTCTGACTTTGAAAGAAGGAAAACCAAGAGACATATCCAGTGTAAATGTTGCGATATGAATTATGTTTGCAATCCCTTTCTCCTCTCCCACTGCCCCCATTTGAGTACACTGCACAAATAAAATGCTAGGGAGTTTGAATAAAACCAATTTTTCTAACTTTGTTGCTCATTTGTTGTAACTCAATAAAGCAGAGACTAAACATTTTTATAACCTTTTCTTCTACTTCTCGTTCTTCATTGCTGTCCGGCTCCCAGGGGCTCGCAGGAGGGTTCTGGCTCGGCCAACCCCTGTTTCAAATCCGTAGGGCCACACTTCTCATCTTCCGTCTTGGAGAAGTACGATATTGCAAGCTGGACTTTAAAAACAGGATGTAAATGTTAACCTAGGAGTCTTCGTCATTTCACTTGGACACAGAGAAAGAAGTCACAGGCCCTCCCTTCTCAAGGGTCTTCACAAATAGATTCATAAAGTACTATGGAGCAGAGGTTTGGAGTGGGAATGAGAAGACCCTCAGTGTCCCAGCTCACCCTTGGGTGACCTGAGCTAGGTCACGCCCCCAGGGTTACTGGTGAGTAGTAGTAGCTGGGACACTGCCATTTCTCCAAGAAGGTGGCTTTTACATGTCTCTGCTCAGGTGAGGTTTAAAGAATCCCTCGCTGTTCGTACCTGACATTGGTCTAGACCCGGGGATTTCAAACGTGAGCAGGCACCAGAATCACCTGGAGAGCTGCATACGGTACCTGACGAGGTAGGTCTGGGGTTGGACCTACCCGTGCGTTGCTAACAGGGGCCTAGGCGAGGCAGCGGCCGCTGGTCCTCGGCCCTCGCTTAGGGAATCTCTGGTCTCAGTGTTTCATTTTTGTAGGGACCTACAAACTTTTGGCCAGTTTATCTAAACTAAGTGTGTATTCATTCTCCGGAGAAAAGACCCTTCCTCCCTCCCCCACTTCCCAAAATACAGGAAACATTGAAAAACCAGAGATTCCAAAGAGCCCGGCCTTCTCTGGGAGATACCCTCGGCACAGGCTGTAGGATCCATTTGCTGAGCTTGTCAGTTCTCCCAAACTGAGAGCAGCGCCATAGATTCTCTGTCACTGTGCACCATCTCTAAAATCCCCTGTAATTCTTACTACTCAGCAAAGTTGAATATAGATAGCTATTCAAAAATAAAAATAATAGCTATCTGTTTTTAACTGAGTGCCTACTATGGATTAGGCTTTGTACCAAGTGCTATACATACATTTTCTTTATAACCCCATGAGACAGGTGCCCCCGTTTTACAGGTAAGAAAACTGAGGTTTAGTGAGGTTTTGTAACAAATCCAAGGTCATGCAGTTGTAAATGGTCTCCATGGAAGCCTACCAATTTTGCCTATTAGGCGTTCCTTACCTGCTACTTATGGTAAAGGCAGCCTCTTTTCTATGGAAGCAGCCCTCCTCATGCCATGAGGTTCTGCTGGGCCCCCTGGCAAGACCTGCACCAGCACATGGCCCCAGCCTGGCCCCAGTGATGGCAAGCAAACAAAGCCGGGCCAGTCGAGCCTCTTCCTGAAACAGACGCTGAAAGATACAAGCTCGTTCTTTCTGTTTGGGTCGCTGAGTTAAGAAGGGGTGGGCCTGGGGCTGGTGGCAGCTGTTTTCCCTGCCATGGGGAGGAAGCGTGTCTACATAAATTAAAAACTCAGAACAGCAACTGTTTTAGAGTATTACAACTGTTGGAGTACTGTACAGCACTAAGCTGCTGGACCAATGAAACCGGCAAATGCAGTGACTTAAACAAGACAAGTTTATTTCTGTCTCAGGCAACAGTCCAGGGCTGGCCTTCGGGCAGGCTCCACGCAGCCACCCAGGGGCCCGGGGTGGCAGGCGGCCCTGCAGTTCTCAGCAGGCACCTTCCGTCTCTAGGTCGAGAGTGTCTGCTTCAAGTGTCCTCATCAACATGGCCAAAGGTAGCCCACGAGCCCACTCCTACGCTCCAGCGCTGGGGAAGCGTGGAAGACACGCAACTTCAGTTTTAAACTCATGGAACAGAAACTTGTCACATCTGTTTCAAAGCCCATTGGCCAAAACGTAGATACATTAGACGGGGTTTTGGCTAATGTGATCGACCTTACTGGAAGGGAAGTTGGGAAGCAGGCTCTGGATAACTGAACCGACAAGAACCTGATAACTGATCAAGAACCGACAGAGGAGGGGTTCTGCTCCTACGAGGAAGAAGCAGAGAGTGGATATGAAGGACAGAGCCATCTCAGCCACCAGGGGGGATTCAGATGGACCTGCCTTCAAGTCCACCTCCATCCACCCTTCCCAGTTACCCAGAATGAACCGTTTTTGTTTTCAGCTAGTTTGAGTTGGGTTTCTGGAACATAAAACCACGAATCCTGACTAATATGGTCTTGAAGTTAAAATTTACCCAAGACTTTCTGAGGCCAAAGTCTGCTCTCACCATCACGTAGCATGTCTCCCCGCTTCTAGAAGATCACATTAGCCGAAACCCCCTGTCTGACGTATCCACCCTCATGGTGACATGCAGAGCCTGGGGGAAGCCCCAGCTCCCCAGCTGGTGCCGCAGGGGCTGTGGGGCTACACCACAGAGGGGAGGCCCCTGGAGTGGGTGGGCGGAGTGGGGGGCCCAGGAGGTGAGTGCAGGGTCACGTCTAATGAAGGCTTATTTGGAGCATTAGACCCACCAGATGAGCAGTGAGCAAGCAGAGAAAGGTCTGGAGCAAGAGGCCGTGGGTTCAGGTAGAGGCAAAAGGATGAGAATAGGTGAACTTCAGGCTTCCCTCGTGAGTGGGCCTAAGTATATCTTTATTCTTTATGAGTCCCAGGGATCTAGAGAGGCAGAAGGCAAGGTGGGTAAGGGAACAGACTCTGCAGTCACACTGCCTGAGGCCCAATCCCAGTTCTGCCACTTACTAGCAGTATGACCTTGGGCAAGCCACTCACTCACTCTGTGTTTCAGTTCACGCCTCTGTAAAATAGAGATGATAGTTGTATCTATTCCCAGTGTGGCTATTCCCATGAGTCAGTATATCTGAAAAGCATTTAGAACAGTGCTTCATATATATTAAATTCTCAGGGCTGCCATCACTATTCCTGGCTACATAATGTATGGGTGAATTGGCCCAAATTAAAATCATAGGGATTGGACCAACTTCCTCCCCTTTGGGGGAATATTAAGGTCCAGCACAGCTGCATTATGGGAGCATTCTGGTCCTTGACTGAGAAACTTTGCAATCCTGCCACAGTCTTTGACTGTGGGCTCTAGTTGCCTTGGAGATACCTGCCACTAGTATCTTCCCTCAGACTTCCCTCGCCCCTTCCTCATTCTCTATGTCCCCTGCACTTCCCTAGCCTGTGTCATAGTCAGGATGCAGGGATGCCTTCTCCTTAATGGATTCTGCTCAGTCCCCCCCCAAAGCTCATGGCCCAGATACCACAGTCCACCTAGACCACTGTAAGAGCACTTGGTCTCTCTGTTATGGTCTCTGCTCAAATGTCACCTGCATTCTGTGACCCCCCCCCATCTGCAGGGCCAGGACCAAGGTGAGGTAAGCAAGGTACCCAGGGAGGCAAACTTTAAGGCAGAAAGATCATACAGGGGCCAAGTCTGCACTTGCAGACCCCTGAGAGTGGCCTTCTGCTTAAATTTCACATCCAAGTACCCCATTTGCCTCACCCTAGCCCTAACCCCACCTACCTGTCATGCTTTTCTCTCTGTTCATTTTCCTCCATCTTGCCATTCACAACATGTCATCACATATCTATTTGTTTACAGTCTTTTTCATCTCACTACAAGTGCAAGGTCCATGAGGGCAAGGGCTATGTCTATCTGATCCCCTCTGCAGTGTCTGGCACATAGTAGATGCTCTATATATACTTGTTAATGGATGGATGGATGATGATGAATGGATCAATGAACAGATGATGATGGATGGATGATGGATGATGGATGGATGGATGATGGATGGATGAAGAGTGCCAGCTCTGCAGTCAAAACCTGAGTTTGAATCCCAGCTCCACTGCCGAAGAGCTAGGTGATCTTGTGCGATTTACTTAGCTTTTTTCAGAGCCCTAGTTCCTCATCTGAGACCTGGAGATGATTATATCCACGTCATAGGTTTGGTGTGAGGTTTATTTAACTGAGTTCATGAGTGCAAAGTGCCCAACACACAGTCAAAGCTCCACAAATGTCCATTCCCATCTCACTGCTCTAACTGGGGGCAGCATCGGGCCAGGCAGTGTGACACCTGTGCCTTCCCATGCCCGGATGGGACGCTTGCATAAAATAAGGCAAGCAGCCAGGAGTAAGTTGGACACAGGTCTAGGAAATTACATTCCAGACATGCACCTCTGACTTTGGAGACTCTGTCATATGTAGCCAGCCCTCTCCTTCCCACCCTCCTACCCCCAAACTCATCTCTAACTGCCCCCTCCCAAAATTCCAAAACTCCAACCTGCACTTTTCTTTTTAAAAAGTTACAGGTGGCTGCAGCTGACTCGTTTCCTGGTTCCTGCCTGCACTGCCTTCCCTGCCTGCACCCCCAGCACCTGGACCCTCCACAGACCTCATCGCCCCCATGCTGTCCTGTCCTTCCGGCCTGTTAATGAACAGCTCTAGCACTTTCTTCCTCAGCAGGCAGCTGCCCTCCCCTCCTGCTATTTACCACCCTCGCAGCCAAGCTTGCAATTTAAATACATTCTTCAGGCAAGGCAGTATGAGACGCTATTGAATGCCTGAAGACCCCAAAGAGAAAGGCATGATAATTGGTAAGACTGAAAATACTCCAGGAAGATGGTTATGCTCTTTTAACCACTCAGCAAAATAGGTTGAGCTCCACTGGGAATGATTAAAGAATGGCAGAACTAAGAAAGGGGGAAGGGCTGGGCAAGATTCTGGTGAGGGGGAAGAGAGGTGGCGGTGGAGCGTCCATCAGCTGCTTTTGTCTGCCTGGACTTCTTGCATTGATATGGCTTCCTGGGGTGTAGACTCCTCTCTCCCTCCACTCCTCTGATTCTGGGGGCTGCCCATCACAGTGACCCACCTCCCTGCTACAGGGGTGAGCCATTGGTATGCCGGCACCCTGTTCAGAGACAGGTGCAGTACCATGCATGAGACCCATGCAGGACCAATCAGATGCTGGGAGAAAGCTTTGTTTTCCCATTCAGGTGGTAAGTGTGATAGTATTCGTCTGGAGTCATCAATGGCT